ATCAATCTTGAAAAAATGTCAGTTCTGATATCCATTATCAAAATAGCATGCTTAAAAAAAAGATTGCAAAGTTGATGATAAAGTAGATGAGACCAGTTGATAAGATAATCTAATGTAGTAATTAATGAGTCAGTTAATGACACAAGTCAATAAGTCAAAGTTAATGATACAGTTAATGAGTCATATAATAACAAGAATAAGATAAATGCTTCATACAGCCGGTCTGTGGTGAAAGCGACCACAGGACCATTTGAAAAAGTTTTATAAACGTTTTTTTTTGGTTTGTTTGTTTGTTTGACATTTTTAGAAAAAAGAGCCATTTTTATGAAGTTTACGGGTGCTTATTGCTATCAATTTCTCAATCTATAATTATCTGATTGAGAAATTGATGTTTGTCATTCCTTAAATTACTTAAAAGAGCCTAAGTAAATACTTGTAAACTGCATTTAGGAGGTCAATGCGATCAATTTCTCAAACAGTAATTCTTAGATTCAGAAATTGAATGTTTTATTTCCTTAGTTTACCTGCAAAATCTAAAGAGATGTGCTTTTAAACCTCATATTTTACTTTTGGGAGATATCTGCTACTAATTTTTCAAATTGATTCACAAATTCAGAATTTAGTAGTAGTCATCACCTAAATTAGCAATAAAATCTTAAGGCAGCACCTATAATACATTTTTTTTCTACTGTTGTCAACTAGTTTTATAAATGATGATTCTGAATTTCAATTTAATTAGTCAGTTAGTAACAAAGTAAATTACACAGGCCAATTATACTGTTATTGATACCACTTAATGAGCTAGTTATTGACACCATTTATTGCTACCTCTAAACGATCCAATTTATTGATACTGTTGTTGATACCACTTAATGAGCTAGTTATTGACACCATTTAATGATACCTCTAAACGATCCAATTTATTGATACTGTTGTTGATACCACTTAATGAGCTAGTTATTGACACCATTTAATGATACCTCTAAACGATCCAATTTATTGATACTGTTGTTGATACCACTTAATGAGCTAGTTATTGACACCATTTAATGATACCTCCAAACGATCCAATTTATTGATACTGTTGTTGATACCACTTAATGAGCTAGTTATTGACACCATTTAATGCTACCTCTAAACGATCCAATTTATTACTGTTGTTGATACCACTTAATGAGCTAGTTATTGACACCATTTAATGCTACCTCTAAACGATCCAATTTATTGATACTGTTGTTGATACCACTTAATGAGCTAGTTATTGACACCATTTAATGATACCTCCAAACGATCCAATTTATTGATACTGTTGTTGATACCACTTAATGAGCTAGTTATTGACACCATTTAATGATACCTCTAAACGATCCAATTTATTACTGTTGTTGATACCACTTAATGAGCTAGTTATTGACACCATTTAATGATACCTCTCAACAATCCCACTTATATGGTTATTATTCCTGATAAAAAAATAGAAAGAAAGAAAAAAAAACTAAAGTTAAATGATACTGTTAATACTAGACTTGTTATTTTGTGAATCGATATCAAAAACGTCACTTTTTTTACATCTGAAACAATTATCGAGATCTCGAACATATTTATCTTTTTTTAAAATTGGTATTTGTGATTTTATTATATCTAAAAATAAATAATAGAATGTATTGATGTTTATTTTAAGATTAAAATCAAAAAAATATATTCTTTTTTATTTAATATTTGAGAATAAATTACGATCATATATTTATCAAAAAGTTTAATTGAAATTTCTAATATCAAAAGCTGAGAAAAAAAAATCTCGATCTCTAAAATCGATCTGATAATCGGAGAATAACAAGTCTAGTATATACATTATAATATTATTTAGAAAACTTTTAATTTGTAAACCTTTGAATATTTTTTTTTACATATTATTTGTAAACTTTTGAATTTTTTACGTTTATTTTTTTTATTAAATACGTTTAAAATTTTCAAAAAAATTTTTTCATCAACTTTTTCAAAGACCGTCTGTGGTCACTTCATCACAGTCCGTCTTTCTATAATATACCTCTTTTCAATATCTGATTCAAACTTTAAGGAAAATTTTCCTCTGAAAAAGCTGATGTAAATTCAATTTCAATTTTTTTTGATATTATAATATTACATTTATAACTTTATTCTAAACCCAACAAATAACATAATTAATATTAAATTTTCATATTATGATTATTATTCCATAAAAAAAATGAATTTTTTTGGAATCACTTAAATTGATATCATCCAAACATATGACCCTACCCAAGAAGGACCTGTCAAAAGGGGTCGGGTAGGTACCGCTTTCAAGGTCTACTTTCATTCAATTTATATGATATCGGACCTGTTGAAGTGTAAATTTTTGAATAAAAAAGTAAATGAATTAAAAAATACTCAATAGGAAATATTCAGCAAATTATTAATTTTGATATATTAATAGTTCAAGCGCTACATTTCTGAATTCGCATACTTCTATTCATTTGACTGTTATGAATTTGGCTAAAACCTCTTTTTTTATCGCCTCATTAAAATTGAATTTTGAGGTATGCAATAAATAATATTATAGTAAACTTACAAATATCCCAAAATTAAACTCTATTTAAGAAAAAAATATAACAAAATTTTTTCTGAAAATTGATGATCATAAATAATTTTTTTCAAATTATGTAATTTTGGTCAATAGGAAAAGTGAGCAAGCAGGTATATATTTAATAAAAACCATTTATTTCTTGATTAATAAAGTCGTTCTGATGTTCTATTCATTTTAATGTCAATTTTAATAAAGGTAACTACACTCCCATTTGTATGATAATTATAATAAATATTTAAAAATATATTTTAGGATTTTAATTAGGTATTTCCAAGATATTTATATTTATTATATTTGTGATGTTTACAAAATTTATTATATTGAAAAAAATGGAATATAAGAATCAAAATATCCAAAAAAATATTTAGCAAACAGATAATAAAAATAAATCAAATTAAATAATAAAAGAATTTTAATTCTGAAATATTAGTTAATTTTTATCCCAATTAATAACATTTTTAGGTCAAAAAAATGCAATAAAAGATTAATAATAATTGTATAAATAATGCCATTTTATAATAAAAACTAAATTTGATCTTGAAGTCAATGTGTTTTATCATTGATCTCATAGAAAAGCATTTTTTGTTTCTTTAAGGGTGTAGTTGGATATGCTTTTGATTGAGAGAGTTATAGAAAAAAAATTGTATTCGTATAGAATATTTTGAGAGAGCTATTCAAATTAATTGAAAGACCATTCAAAATGATCCAAAAAAAAAGCATTTTATATGATCACAAAAGAAAAATGGTAACTAACCAAATAAGCAATTGTTCGTAAAATAATCTGAATTTTATTTTCATCAAAAGAACTTCTAGAAAGAATGAAAATTTAATAATTTCAAAAAAATAAAAAATGCATGGATTTGGTTTTGCTTTATTTAAAGGGAAAAATCAAAAAGAGTAAAAACAAAGTATACATACATAAATAACCGATTATTTCCAGCTTAATGGATCAATTAATATTCGACTAAAATCGTTAGACATGAAATGAGAGCCATTTAAAAAAAGATCGCTAAAAAAGCTAAATCTTCATAGGTTCCGATTAAAATAAAAGTTTGCAAAGTATATTCAAGTATAAAATTGAATAATTAATTGCTACATCCGCCAAAAACGTCGATAGCATTTAAAGATATCATTTCGATTTTGAGGTTTTTAATAAAAAAAAGTGATATTTTGTTCCAAATGAATTCATAAAACCATGCACTTGTTGTTGCACGGGTTTATTTGCAATATAAGGGCTAGAATTTGTGGAATAAAAACTTTTATAAAAAAATATTCAGTAAGGTTGTAAAATTCAAAAACGTCTCACTGAAAAGCAAGTTTGGGATAAATTCCATGATATCTCAAGAAAAAGACACTGCTTTACAAATATTTCTGATGATTTACTCAGTTTTCAAAGTTTTTCAACAATTAGCGCTCTTTATTAAATCAAAAAAATGATATTTTTTAAAAAACAAATTTTTTTAATGCCATTGATCTTTTAATTTTGCAAGAACGCATTTTCTTAAGAATTAATGCCAATGAAGAATATATATTGAGAAAGTAGTAAGAAAGATTCCAATTATATAAAAAAGCACAAATAAAGAATAATATGCATTTAATTTATTTTTGAAACAAACAATTTAAATTGTTTCATTCTATTATTATTAATTGCAATTAAAATTGAAACCAATTTATTAACATCATAAATATTATGATTTAAACAATTTTGATCATGCTAACACTAAACACAAAACTCTAAAATAATAGAAAATCAAATGTGACATTAAACACTAATATTCGAATTAGTTGCCTCCTTACCATCATTATATATTATTCTTAAAAACTGTAAATATACATTTATATTATTTTCGTTGTCTTGAAACCATTTTACCACCAAATCTTTTCTTCTCTTAAAATTTCGTGAAAATTGTACATTTGCTATAAGGCTAATTAGTGAAGCAACTTGAACAAGTCCATTTAAAGATATTTTTTGAATTGGGCAACCAAATATTTTTTCTATGATTGCTTCTCCTCTGCTTCCATCTGCGATAAAGTCACCTAATAAATTCTGGCTAACAACTTTTTCAGAATTATGATTTCTTGAAAGACCAGACGGTACCTTTGGTTTTCTATTTGGATGCATTTAATAAAAATGCCCTTTTCCTTTCAAATTTTCAAATGATATCGTAATTTTTTTTCGTTATATTTTTAAAAATATCGTAATTTTTATTATAAATTGCAAAATAAAAATATAATTTTGTCTTGACAATTTGATAACATTAAATATATTTTAAATACATTTATAAAAAATGAAATAATTTCAAGATATTCGTCATTTTTTATTTAAACGATCAAAAAAATAAAAATGCTCACATTGCTAACAATGATTATTAATTTTAATTAAATTCAATCAACAGCGCCGCTCTTAGCTCAGTGGTAGAGCATGTGACTGTAGTATTCAAAATGTAGTCATCACAGGGTCGCCGGTTCGATTCCAGCAGCGCGGATTTTTTTTTATGAATATTGTAATAATGAATAATGATCGTATTATGGTGATTCTAATATTAAATACTAAAAAAAAAAAAAAACAAATAAATAATATTGTATCTTTATTCTTAAAATAAATAAATGAATGCAAAGTGAAACATCATACAAAGATATTTAAATATCATTTATTATCTTTTTGTAGAAGCAAGGTTCAGTTCTGCATATTGGACAGCTTTTTTTATTTTTATACCAATTTTCCAAACAAACAGAGCAAACGCCCATATGACCGCACGGTAATATAATTGAATCAGCCTTATTTTCGAAGCAAATGATGCACATTTCGTCTTTACTCACCCCGAAACCTCCTGAAACTCCTGTAATAGGAAATCTGCAGAGAGGGCAGTTTTCTTTATTTTGATGTGCCATCATTGCGCACTCTTTGCAGTACACCTTGTGTCCGCAGTCCAATAGGTAGTGGTCTCTCTGTTTTTCGTTACATTTGAGACATCTTAGGCTTGTATCGACGAAAGGCTTTCCTAATTCGACAATATTTCTCTGGACACGAGTTGGGTCATTTGTTACACCTTTAAACTGGCCATTTCCTTTGAAAAAGTAGTTTGATGTAGTTTGGCAATCGCATTGTTCTTCACAGTTTTCAACTTGGTTGTCGTAAAATTCTCCTCCTCCTTTATATGCTAATTTGACCATTTTGTCACCAATATGGTCAATTTTGTTATTTTTTGCCTCCATAATACCAGACGTGAAAACGAGGAACGCGTACTTTCTAATGTTTGAAATATTGTTGTCATAGATAGACAACACAGAGCTGTTGTAACCTTCAATTGCTGCAACTTCGCAATTGTCTATTTCATTGTTTAAAATGACCGCTTTTAATGTGTCAGAAATGGATATTCCACTCTCTTTAACGTCTTTTATTTTTGAGCCCTCAATTTTAACGTCTTTTGCACCACGAGCAACAATTCCACTGTACTTGATATTGTTCACTATATTGCCTGAAATAATCGACGTGGAATTCGAGATAATCGCAATGGCTGGATATAAAAGGTCAAATAATTCATTATTTTTGATCGTCACTTTTGATTCGTTACAATTTATTCCGTTTCCATCGAGATTGTGGATTTTGTTACCGTCAACAACTCCTGTGGAATGGGAGAAGATTCTAATAGCAGTGTCTTCGATGTCATAAAAGTGATTTTTCTCTATCAAAAAGTCTTCCGTGGATTCAATTGAAACTCCGTTTTTTTTGATGTCCTTAAATTCGCATTTTCGGACTACAGACTGGGAATTGGTGGCGAAAATTGAGGAATATACTGTTTTTGAAAATTTGCAATTTGATATTTCTATCGATGATTGGTCGTATACGTAAAATCCGTTTCCTGATGAATCATGGAAATTGGAATCTGTAACTGTGACAAAGGAACCATTTTTAACAACTACAAGCGTATCAGCTAGATCATGAACATGCAGGTTGTCTGCTAAAACAACACTATTTTCTGAAATATATATTCCTGGGATTTCTTTGGCATCTGAAATGGTAAGATGACTGAGCGTAACATTAACGCCATCCGATATTGTTAAAGCTCCATTTGATGATTCGGCGTCTTTTATTGTAGCATTTGTTATTGTACAATCTTCAATACTTCTTATTGTAACAGCGCATTCAAAAGAAACATTAGATATTTTAACTCCTGATGATAAAATATTAAAATGTTTGCATTTGATGACAGTATTGCAATTAGAAGTTATTGTGTATGACAAATCAACCTCAATATCTTCGTCTGACTGTAGAATTGGGCATATTAGAGTGATCTCTCTTGTTCCTTCAGTTCTAATTGAGTTCGATTCATCTAATAAAGTAGAAAATTCGACTGACATATTAGATAAAGGCTGAAAATTCCTTATTTAAAACTAAAATTTTTACGATCATTTTCCTGTGAAAATTTTTCAATTTTTATTTAATACATTTAAATATCTTACAAAATAATTTTAAAATAATATAAACAAATGTAAAAATATATTATAAATAAAAAATAATATATATTTTCTTATATTATTTACTCTTTTATTAATGATTAATTAATATTTTTAAATTATATAAACTTGGCTATTCTCATTTAGAAACCAAAAAATTTGAATACCCTTTCGTCTTTTTTTGAATAAATGCCATATTAAAAAAATTTGTTAATTATATGATGAAACTATTATTGTTTTATTATTAATTTATTTAAATTAAAAAGAAAGAATACAACATGATTCGAAAATATCGTTATATGATCTTTGTCGCTGATGTTATAATTGATAGAAAATGCATATATATATAACTTTAACTTTTTTTAAATTAGATATTTTAATATGTGATTTGAATACATCAAATCATTAAATGAAGTAATCAATCCTCAATTTTTAGAAGAAATTTAAAAAATTCAATAGAAAAGAAAGGCTCGTTATTAACATGACTTTTATTAACAATTTTTTATATTAAAATGCAAAGCATGATAACCAATTTCAATTACCGATGAAGGAATTGATTTTGATGAGAGAGATGAGCAGCCATAAAAAGCATAATCACCAATTGAAGTCACCGAAGAAGGGATACTTATATTCGATAAAGAGGAGCATCGATAGAAAGCATAATCACCGATTGAAGTCACTGAAGAAGGAATTGATATTTGAGTTAATGAGGAGCACTTTTTGAAAGAATAAGGAGGAACAGTTGTCATTCCTTCAGAAAGAACAATTGAATGACAACCGCTGAAAACAGATTTACCGATTTCACTTACAGAAGGAGGAATTGAAATTTCTTTCAACGACGAACAATTTTTGAATGCTTTTGATTCAATTTCAGTCACAGATGAAGGGATTGTCACTTTTTCTAATGATGAGCAACCAAAGAAAGCAGCATATTCAATTATAGTTATCGAATTAGGAAGCAGCAAATTGGCCAATGATGAACATCCTTTAAAACAACATTTAGCAATTTTGCTGACTGAAGAAGGAATTGAAATGTGACATAAAGATTTGCATCCTTTGAAAGCATTCGCTCCGATCGATGCAACTGAAGAAGGAACAATTATTCGCTCTAATGAAGAACAGTTAGAAAATGCACTTCTTCCAATGGAAGTGACTGAAGAAGGAATCGTTATTTCAGTCAAAGAAGAGCATCCAAAAAAGGCACTTTTTCCAATCGATTTGACATTAAATGGGATCGTTATTTCTGCCAACGATGAACATCCATTGAAGATACTTCTTCCAATTGAAGTGACAGATGATGATAGGCTTACTTGCTTCAATGATTTGCACTCATAAAAAACATTTTTTCCAACTTTTGTTACTGATTCGGGAATCGTTATTTCAGCCAATGATTCGCACTCTCCAAAGCAAGATGAATCGATTTCATTTACAGAAGAAGGAATTTCTATTTCAGCCAATGATGAACATCCATAAAAGGCAGCCTTTCCGATTGATTTAACTGTTTCTGGAATTATTATTTTTGTCAGTTTTATACAATTTTTGAATGCGTTATTTGCAATGAATTTAACTGATTCAAAAAGTTCAATTCTCTCAATTTTTCTGACATAGTAAGAATGAACATGTTCAATTTTTGCTCTCTGAGTTGAAATCACCAGGCATTTTGATGATTTATTGTAAATAGAAAAAGATTTTTTGCTTTGACAGCTTGTTACAATATTCAAGCAATAGTCAAAGCACTTTTTGCCAATTGAAGTTATTGTTGGAAGAATTTCAATTTGCTTCAATTGCAAGCACCCTGAAAAAGTGAGTTTTTCTAGTGATGTTATAGATGGAGGCAGCGATACTTGTGCTAATGAACAACATCGATTGAAAGCGTTGTCTCCTATTTTAAGAACAGAAGAAGGTATGACTACTTGCTTCAAAGATGAACATTCAGCAAATGAACCTGATTCAATCGATGTGATTGAAGAAGGAATTTCAACCTCTACTAGAGAAGTACATTTATAAAAAGTGCATTTTCTGATCATTGTAATTGAAGGAGGAATGATTATCTTCTTTAATGATAGACATCCTCGAAAGGCATATTCATCAATTGATGTGACAGAAGATGGAATAATTATTGATTTTAAATATGAGCATCCATAAAAAGCAGCTTTTTCAATTGAAGTAACAGATGATGGAATTACAACATTTGTCATTCTTGAACAATTCCTAAATGCATTTTTTGCAATGATTTCAGAAGAAGGAAAAATATTTATTTTTCCAATTCTTCCTAAAAAATTATAGAAAATATCATCCAATTTTACTATTCTTTTCCTAATAACAAAATCATTTGTTTCTTTATTGTATATACAAAATATATCTTTATCTTCTCTGTTCCACACAATATTTTTGCAATTATCAAAACAACTCTCGCCAATCGATGCAACTGAAATAGTAATTTCTATTTGCGCTAACGATAAACATCCATTGAATGCAAAATCACCAATTGATGTAACAGATGAAGGAATGAATACTTGTTCCAATGATGAACATCCATTAAATGCATGATCTTCAATAGAAGTTACTAAAGAAGGAATTGATATTACATTCAATGAGGAACATTCATTAAAACAAAAAGATTGAATTGACCTTATCATTGAAGAAAGTTTTATTTGCTTCAATGAAGAACAGCAACTGAATGCATGCTTTCCAATTGATGTAATAAAAGGACTGATTTTTATCTGTTGAAGAGAAGAGCAACCATCAAAAACATAATCACCAATTGACTTTAAACTAGGGGGAAGCTTGATTGTTTTCAATAATGAACAACCTTTGAATGTGTTGTTTTCTATTGATGTAATAGAAGAAGGAATTGAGAGTTGTCGTATTGAAGAGCAATTATAAAAGGCACCTTCTTTTATTGATATTACTGAAGAAGGAATCACTACTTGGCACAATTTTGAGCAATCTTTAAAGCAATACTCTTCAATTGTCGTAACAATTGATGATAATTTAACTTGTTTAATTTTGCTTTTAAATGGTTTTA